AACTCATGTTTTCGTTTTCATTTTCCACTTTATTCCATTCTCCCTTTGCGACATTCCTGTACAAGAACATAATCATGTTATTAATTTATTAAAATGTGCCAGTCTTAATCACCCAATTTCAGCCAATTTACATCACTTCTAGTCTAGCTAGAAAACAAGACGATTACTTAGTATCTACACTGAAGCCACCCGTATAGAGGAGTTCTACAATGTGACGAGATTCTTTGGGATTACGTAGTCCATCATAGTTATCAATGTGTCCATGCCGATTGGTAGCTCAGTCTGAAAAGATATGTTTCGCAAAGTAATGCTGAGAGAATTGCTTCATAATTTACCACTTCTTGTTGAGCGCCAAATACAGAAGAGTACCATTTTCGGAAAGTATCCACATACTAGAATAGGTGTTTCTAGTACTTTTTCCCAATTTTAGAAAGTAAAAAACTCACAGAGAAGAAAGTATTCTGAAGAGAATAACTTTCCACGATATTGTGACACGATGCATATATGCCATTAACAATAATCTAAAAAATCATTTCCTGCAAATTTGTTTTGTCTTCATCGGGGAAATCTCTTAATTTTACCTTTCCATTTGATGTCATTGGGGAATAAATTCCAGTTTCCTTCACTTTGGACACTTTAATCACTTGTGCAGTGATAACTCGTTCATCCTAAGTAAAGTGGATTAGATATGGGTGTTCATTATCAGACCAATGGTTCTGATTAAGGATGATCAAGAGAACGAGTAAAGCAAGCTCCGCCCCCACACTCTGTCATTGGCTAATGTTATAGGCGGCGATAAGTCGAGCGAATCATGAAGTGGGAAGCGTTTGGGCGGGATAATCAAGATTTTGCGTTTGGAAGTACAGTAAGTTTATAACTTGTTTTTACCTGCGTAACCCTGTAAAGACAATCCCCTTCGGTTACCTTGTCAGCAAACACTGCTTCATGCGATAACTCACTCGCAGTGACCTTAACCGAATCTTTCACTTGATTATTTCACGATTTCACTTAATTGAAGTAAAAGTGATGATTGTTTTACTGTAAGTTCCATCTGAAACTGCTGCATAACTTACCTCCTCGCCAATCTTTGCGCATGTTGTCTTGTAGATGAAGTGTTTTGCTGTCAGTTTTAGTTCACTTCCATCTGATAGTTCAATCCTAAATTTCAGCTTTAAGTGAATTTATACTCACTACTACAACTGCACTAACTTTTGAAATTGTGCCTGTTGACTAGGTACTCTGTGTAACCAGAAGGAAACAGGAGCATATTGTACCTGGAAGAATTTTTTTGCCTCAAAGCATGTTATCTGATATCAAAAACCTACTTCTGCTCCGTTAAGCGTTTGCACCCAATCTTCTACTTCCAACTCGTCTAAACGCTTTTCGCTACCGTCAATGATACGAACCTTAATATTATACAACAGATTAGTTTTTCTGACATCCCACTATCTCGAATTTCCTATCCCCTCTGCTAGCGGATGCCAAATGAAAGCGAATCATGGAACTGGGCCGCAAAATGTTCGCTCATTATGAACTATTCGAGAATAGCGCGTAATACCGGATTTGATGCTAAGGTGAAATTTCAGCGAAATGAGACATTGCATAATTCATTCATGGGTCGCAAAGGTGCTTTTTGCGGATTTCTGTTTTATTCGCTCATTCAGTGGTTTAGGCTTGAACTCATCGAGTAATCAATGTTGTTACCGTTGTGTCACCAGTAAAGCAGTAATAGCCTCCTGAAGTTGAGTAGGCCGGAGCTGCTGCGGCGATTGGCGCCTGACCTACGGCCGGATAGTAAATGGGTTCAGCCTAAATAGAACAAATAGATGTTGATAAGTATATCAGCAAGAAATTTGACATACAATAAATTGTTGCTGTGGAAAAAGAGGCTGTTGTGGGGCTAAGGGCCCCTGAGGTGGGGGTTGTTGTGGTACTAACGGCTCAAGTGGTGGAGCCTAAAATCGTAGCTGTCTACAGAAATTCTTATATTATTCGGAAAGGTTAACCTCAGTATCGGGAGCCGGTGTAGTAGTCGTATCAATTTCAACTCCATCCTGTGCGATTTCCTCTTCAATAACCACATCTTCTCCTTCGTCAAATGGTCCTTCAATCCCCTGCATTTAGATTTCAGATTTTTTTGTTTCTGGCAAACTGGAAGACTTTGAAAGAAGATTTTGAAAAAACCCACATTCACTGCTACTGGATTAGCTCCAGGGAGAGTGGGTGCCTGAAAATCAAGTTATTTCTGAGTTTATGAAGCAGTCTTAATTTCTCATTGACTGACCTGGAATGCTTTGTGATGATGTGGTGCCCTTCTGAATTCTTGTACATCGTGCACTTCTGGTAGAGATCCTGTCCCTAGATATTGGGATAACACTTTAGAACTTTGTGTTTCCTAGAAAACTTACAGTGTTCCTTTGGCTCTACTGGTGGAAGGCAGACGAAGCGACGAATGTTAACCTCGTAGGTTACAGATCCATCAAGGCTGACAGTCTTTGCAACATTGCTAATGTAGTCAAAAGCATACTGAGTTCCATTTTTTGACACCTAAAACCAGTGTTATCTTTTTTTTCCGGGATTTTAGGATTTCCAAAACCTTACCTCTCCTCCAATAACAATCTGACCA